GTCCTGGAACTCACCATGTAGACCAGGCTGGCCTTGAACTCAGAGATCCGCCTGCCTCTGCCTCCCGAGTGCTGGGATTAAAGGTGTGCGCCAGAACGCCCAGCAAGAATAAATTTTTAAAAATTAAAATAATGCCACTAAGGTTAATGCTTTACTGCTTTTTGTTTTGGAAGACGCACAACCTTGTATTTATCTCCTTCCACTACAGTCTGTAAGAACACGAGGCCTTACAGCAAACAGCTCTATGGAAAGCTGACTGTGGACCCTTACACTAACAATCCTAAGGAGCTAAGATGCCATCCATCTGCTTCCCCAGAAAGGCATTCAGCGGCTCCTTTGAGTCTGTCATTTTAAGTGACATCAGTGAAGCGTTTAGGCAGAAGCAAGCGGAGCACGTTGGGACTCTGAGCTCCTTCCACAAGTCTGAACAGCTCGCTTCCTCCTACAGGAAGCAGTCTTTAATCCTCAGTTTTGATTATGCCTGCCATCTGTGCAGAGCTGTGTTTACAACTGCAGGTTTTGGTCCACACAGATATTCGAAACTGCCACAACAGGCACCCAGCAGAAGCCCGGAGCTGAGACCCCTTCCAAACACTGACCAGCACCATCATCTACCTGTTAAGGAACGGATCCGAGCTACTGGCCGTCATGGTCCTCAATTCCTGAGACATGCCGGGAGAAGACACGGGATTCTGAGTCCCTCCATCCTGCTCCAGTGTGGGTAACTGACTGCGAAGAGCTAATTCCTTAAACAAAAAGCAAACACAAAGAGTCAGTCTACTCAATGAACAAGCTTACTGCTAGATTTAAAGAAATAAAAAGCGCATCAATGGCTAGATACATATAAAAGGTAAAATATTAACATCCATTTTAAGGTTAACCTCTTTCCTAATCAGAATAACTAAATTATACATCTTAAATGACTGGGAACATCTTATGAGAGGCAGGAAGTTTGTCTAGTTGTACTAACACCCAAACATGCATAATTAGTTACTCTTTCTTTATTTTGGCAAATCCTCCCAATTCCTCCCTTGAGGTAGAACAGAAAGTCAAAATATAAATTCTTTGTTTGTGGTTACTCACCAGCTTTCAATTGGCTTTGGGGCAGCAATAAAAATAAAGAATAGAGAGAACATTGATGATTTACTGTCAGACATTAGCCCTCCCCTCCGCCCATGATGTTTACACTCTGCCATCAAGTATTTCACTGGCTTCGGGGATTTTCACCCTGAGCTGGATGGAGCTGTGTTCTATCTCCGTTGTGCATGGAATGGGGGAGGGGTAACATTAGAAACAACAGTGTGACTTCAAAGTTTCTCAGTCCCAGTCCCAGTATTCAAAACAGGCTAACATTTCAAGGATCTACCATTGCTCAGTGGACTCCTACCTGGAATCTAGGCAGAGGCCTGGGACAGCTGCTCTGTGGTCTGACAGGCCTGGGGCCCAGTGTCCCTCCCATCCCTTCACTGTCTGTTGCCCTCTTCCTCTCCAGTGCTTGCTCACTGGACTCTGCTCTCGGCTGAGCTGTGGCTGTGCCTCCTAAGCACTCAAACGCTGTCCCAGCTTGAGCAGCATTAACTGATGTGGAATATGGCTATTTCTTTAAATCACAACACATACTGCCCAGCTAAGATAGGGCTGCTCTGCATCTGAGACAGACAGCCCTCCTCCAGCTCCCTCCCACCCCACCCACATAACCACCACCTGACCACCGCAAGGGCCAGAGTCACTGAAATAACCTCTTAGCTCTCCACAGCCACTTCCAGACCTAGATTGTGCTTCCCTAGGCAGACCCCAATTTTTATTCAGGTTTATGCCTTCTGGATATACCATCCTTTAAAGCAGTTTCTTAACTATAGGCTCCGTCAGGTTTGTGAACTTGGATAGGAGTGGGAGAGCGAGATGTTACCTTAATTTCTGATAAATTTGAGCTCAAATTTTACATTTCTTCAATTATTAAAGGACAATATAACAAAACTCATTATAGTTCTGATTTCTCATCATTTTCATAACATATAATTGCTTTAGATATCTCAAAATACCATCTATGCCTAATATTATTTCAGCATAATAGTTTAAGGTATGTGTGCTGGAGCAATGGCTCAGCAGTTAAGAGCACTGGCTGTTCTTATAGAAGACCTGGGTTCGAATCCCATCACCCACATGGTGGCTAACTCCAGTTCTAGGGGAACCAGTGCCCTCTTTTGTCCTCAGGAGGCACTGCACAACATGGGTGCACTTACACACATGAAGGAATTAACACTCATACACATAAGATAAAAATAAATAAAAACAGTTTAAGGCATGTTTCTAGATAGCTTTATATTAATAAAGAAGTTGTGCAACAAATTATCACTTAATATTTTGATAGCAATAAAATTATTTCTCATTGCTCAACCATCTGGGAAGTGCAGATACAAACTACACTGAGGGCTACAAAGGGCTCAAGGGGCTACAAAGGGCTCAAAACAACAAGAAATGCTATAAAGATGGAAGCAGGGAAAAGTCCATACACGTGGTTGGTGGGAGTGCAAATGAGTGCAGTCACTATGGAAACCTGTGCAGAACTACCACATGGCCAGCTCTTGGGTGTATACTGGAAGATTTTAAGTTCCACCCATGTTCACTGCCACACTATTGACAATAGCCAAGACACAAAAACATGTCAGAGACCCATCAACAGATCAATGGGTAAAGAAAATGTGGTATATGCACACAATGGATTTTATTCAGTCACAAAGAATTCAATTAAGCCACTTGTAAGAAAATGGATGGATCTGGGGATAATGTTAAGCCAAACAAGCCAGCCTCAGAAAGACAAATATTGCATGTTTTCTCTCATTGAAGAATCTCAATTAAAAAATATGTAAATGCACACATAAAGACATGGAACTAGCATGGAGGTTACTTGGGAGGACTAGAAAGGGGGGGGACACGAAATTAAGAGAGGGGTGTGAGGGGTGCGTATGATCAAAGTACATGAAAAACATGAATGAAAAGGTCATAATGAAGCCTATTATTTTATATGCTAATTAAAATAATAAAGTGCTTTATAATGCTGTATACCATCTTTCCATATATTTGTATTTCACTATATTTATTTTTGTGCGTGGAGGTGCACATGTGTAGAGTGCGTGTCGTACATGTGGAGATCAGAGAACGAGTCTCAGGAATTGTTCTTGGTTCTCTTCTTCCAGCATGTGGGTCGCAGGGATTGAACTCAGGCTGTAAGGCTTAGTGGCATCTGTGCTTGGCTCCAAGGGCTCAGATGGATGCCAAGTAGCATGCTTGCTCTCCCCAACACGGATAAATTGCTCCTTGTTCTCAGCTTACCTCTTAAGCTGGTCCATCTAACATGTGAGGCATTCTGGAGTCTGGCTCGGGGCCCCTCGCCATTCCAGGTTCATCCTGGGCCTCACGCTTCAGTTTGCCTTCTGGATTCCAACTGACCTTCATTTCGCACCCATCTCTATCACTCCCGCACAGAGCCACTGCAGTCCGAACTCAGCGTGGAACAATTGCTAGTGTTTTGCTTCTGTGGAACCGTATTGATCACTGCCCATGCATAAAACTCATTCCATAGCCCACTGTTGAAATTCCTGCTCTCCTTTCAACTGCCACGTTGCCAGCAACTTCACCACTGAAACGTCACATCCTGGACTTGGAGGTTTCGCCCCTGGGAAAATTGCATGCATTTCACCTACTTTCTGAGCAGTTTTCTTCCATTCCATTTTTTTGGATGACCTCTGCCTTCATTTAGTTCTTCAATCTCAGACGCTCCTTTCCTCTAGTCTCCTGGCTCTCTTCTGGTTTATTTTTTACCTCTTCTCTACAAGCTTCAACTTATGACTACTTGAAATGCACTTGAGTATTTTTTTCAGATTCCTGATATGCATATAATTTTATCTTGATCCAGCAAATCTCAGTCTGCAGCTGGGTGCCCAGAGGTAAAATGTGTTTGCTTTACTTTTGTGCTGAGAAATGCTGGGTGGGAAGGGGACCACACAACTATCTGGAATGGAATCATTACCAGCAAATGGCCTTCCGCTTTGGCGGGAGCTGTGTCTGGGGGGTGTTTGTCTTCCTCACTCGGTTCCTGCATTCTCATGGTCAGAAACTCAAAAGCACAGCACCAAGCCGTAAGCTCCCAGTGGGTCAAGTACATGTTCGTTTCTTTTCAATTTAAATCATCACACTGAGATCAACTAACAGTCTTAGACATTCTGGCTGTTTCTGGGGCCTCTTCCCGTTCAGCTCAAAGGCATCTTCCTTTATACTCATTGTTAGGACTTTCCTTCCAGTCTGCTTCTCAGTGCTTCTGATGACCCCTTCCATTTCTTGATAGAACTCCATCACTGACTCCACCCGCCCATCCTGCAAAGTGAGAAGTGATCTACAGTAGGGGCAGCACACTGCTGCAGGTCGACAGTGTCTCTGCACTAAGGCCCTTCCATGTGTGGCTCTCGGCTTTTCTTTCTTTCTGTTGTTTCGGGCCTGCCTTCTCGAGGTAACTCCCATGAGGAGCCCATCTCCATTTGAGATGGGCTCAGACAGTACTGACCATGTGGTTAGAACCCTGAGCACTTAGCATGCTGACACTGCAATGATTTATTCCGTGTTCCATAAGGGCAGAGTTGAAGAGACTGTTTTGGAGCATAAAATAGTAACTTCTAACACTGAATCTTGCTCTGAAAACAAGGATGCCTAGAACCCTGTGATGAATCTGTCAGCCCTTCGGAACACACAGCACTTGAGACTATTTGAAGATAGGCTGCTTTTCCACAGGGCTGAGCATGGAGACACACTAGGCAAGTGTTCTCCACTCTACCACACCCCTAGCCCTAGAACCTCATCTGCATTTTCTCAAAAGGATGCATGTTTCCGTCTGCCTGGTTTGGCACGACACGGGCCTACAGATCATTATGGAAATAACCATAGTGTACTTTTCATAAAGCTCTAACAATTTTTAATTTTAGCTGTTCTGATGAAGTTTATTTTTATTGTATGTGTCTACACGTATGTTAATGAACCCATGTGCAGTGCCCAAGGAGGCCAGAAGAGGGCATCCGATCCCCTGGAACTGGAGTTATGGATGGTGTGAGCTGCCATGTGGGTGCTGGTAGCTGAACCTGGGTCCTCTGCAAGAGCAGCTAGTGCTCTTAATCACCACCATGCCTGGCTCTCATTCATTTCTGAGATAAGGTCTCACTATGCAGTTGAAGCTGGCATCAAACTTGCAATCCTCCTGCCTCAGTGTTTCACATGGTGGGATTATAGGTGTGTGCTGCTGCACTGTGCCTGGCTTCTAAGTAATTTTAGTAATATAACAGCTTTACAAATATAACTGATGTGCCATAGCTACACATACATTGCACAATTAGATGTGCTTTTATCTGCGCAGTCCTGAAATTCCACTGCAATCCCAATCATCATATCTCAGATTTTCTCCTGCTTCTTTTTACCTCCTTCACTCCTGTCCTCAGAAAGTAATAATCTGCCTTTTGCCATAGTATTTGTGTCAAGCTTTGTGTAAAAGGGACCAAGAAGGACCTTTCTTGCTGTATCTGTTGACTCCTTTTTAAAATTTTATGTGTATGAGTGTATTGCTTGTATGTAGGTAAGTGCACCTGAGTCATGCAATGCCCTCGAAGTCAGAACAGTGTTGCATCTCCTGGAACTGGAGTTAGGAATGGTTGTTAGTTCCCATGTGGGTGCTGGGAATTGAACTCAGGTCCTCTGCAAGAGC